TCTAAAAATCATATAACATTAAAACAAATATAATTAAATACTTACGAAGGAAAAATAATCCATATGGTTTATGAATAAATAAATAAACACTAGGGCACTTCACCTTCTACTATAGACTACAGCCCACACTTGCTTTCTCAAACCGATTTAGTATTGTCCATGACCCACAGTCTATGTAGGGGTTCATTAGTGGGTCACCTAAGTCTAGTCAATGGGCAAGGAGTTGTAATCTTAATCCGTGGATTTTAGTTCTCCCTTAGAGACGTACCAATGTCACCTAGACCTGATGCAACCACAGCTCTATGGTGCATATGGGTAATCTCTCACATACACAAGTTTTACCCTAAAAGGTGATTCTCTTTCTCGAAATGGTTGTCATATGTACATGACGTGTGATGGTATGCTGATGAGGTTTTGGCCCCCATCTCTAAAGGCCTCCATCAACAAAAGCACCACACATTCCCTCGGTTCACTCATCCAGGTATACTCCCACCTCATCAAGGAATAACCCATTATAACCCTTATCGGTTTAATCTCTATGCACATGTAACATAAGTTTTTACCAGCCAACTGACCTAGATTGTAAAGCTCAGTCCGATATTAGCAAACATCATGTACTTAATATAGTCCACACAGGACCACACTCCCACTGAGTTCATGCTCTATACAAGCACTCATAAGGCCTTTAATGGCAACGCATACCCAACAGTAAAGTGATATGTGAAGGTAGCAAAATTCGATTTTGCTCAAATAATTGATAAAAAAGCTTCAAAGTTTGATCATTGAGCTCAAATAATTCAACTTCATTATTCATCATTGAAACTTGTTGGAATCGGCGAGTCTACTATAACAGACTTGCCCAACTCACTGGGTTCCTTTCTAAACACGGGCGATTTGTTGTTTTGAGCTAGAATCAACACAGGATGATCGATTCCCATGTCGGCTCGCCCGAGTCCATACCGACTCAACGATTTTAAAACCAGTACTTTTAATACTAGAAAGTCATAATTACTATGCTCCATTGATGCTAAATTTGATAGCTTAAAAGTGTATCACATAGTTTGATAAAATTTTATTTTGTACTTTGTGTCCAATCAATGACACACCATAAGCTACCTGGTTTCATATCTAATAATCAATAATGATTGTGGCTCAACTATACCTAAAGGAAAAGGTTTTATTACATATATTTCTTACATATATTTCCTTAAGATACAATCCTTAATTTACGAACTCATGGAGTATAAGTAGTATATTACCTTCTTGATTATCAAGAGCTATTAGTTACACTAATTTATTTTTAAAAATATAATATTAATTTAAATTAATAGATATGGAAAATACCTATGCAACACATTCCTCAAGTTTTTTTATTTTCAATTAATAATTTATATTTCAATTTTTTTTTGCCATTTCTTAAAATTGATTTTAAAATGATCAATATAATGACTTCATGCGCTTTTGAAAATTTCATTAAACTAAACTTAACTTAGGCATTTTATTGGTTATCCTATTTGAAATGGAGTTTGAGGTCTTCTAAGATATAAATCTTTTAAAAAGCTAGTTAGTGCTAATAAGAGAGATATTTACAAAAAAAATAATACAACATTTTCAATTTTAAATTTTTATAATTATGAATTTATTATCTAAAAGTAGTTTAAGTTGATAAAATGATCATTTTAATTTTTTGAAAAATTATCAAAATACCAATGAGAGAAGTACTATTTAGCATTTTATATTTTTGGCACTATTTCAAATTATCTTCATGTGTGCTTCTATGTGTATTTTGAAATTAAATCAAACATTGTTAAATAGTTAATCTTATATGACTTTTTTTTGTTGTTTTTTCCTATTTTATTTAAGAGTAATGATCTTATAAGACCCCTCTCCCACCCATATGTGTAGGACCCCAAATGATCACCATTAAAGTTGGCACGGATCTCTAAAAAAGTTATCACAGTATAGGATTTGATTTTTCTATAGATCCATGCCAAATTTAATGATGATCATTTGGAAGCCTACACAAATAGATGGGGCACGATTCTATAGGATCATTTGTCTTTATTTAAATAACTATTATAATTGTTTGTGTTAATTAAATTTCTAAACAACATAAACTCAATTGATACGTCAATGCATCACAGGCTGTAGACTGGTTAATACCAATTTGAACAAGGCTGATCATTTCAGCTTTACCATTACAAGGGTTTTTACTAAGAATTGCGAGTGGATAAACAACACGACGCATGTTTCGAAACTTAGAGAAACATGATATTTATTTGGGGAAAGAGTTTTACTTAAGGGACAGGACTTAAATAATCAACTTAATGCGGCATTTCAAGAATTCACTAAAGGGTGTGGTTTCTGCAACTTTTTTTTTTATACCAATGTTCAGAACTTTATTGATACTTTAAAAAGAAGATTACATCCTAAGTGACAATAAGAGAGTTTAGACCAACACCCTTTTAGCCAAAGCATCAGCAATCCCATTCTATAAGGTTGCAACCTTAAACAACCGAATTAAGGCGCACCACCAAATTTTAATAAAAGTTGGTCTGAAAAATTCTTAGGATTATCTCATAATCTATTTTCATATCTAATTATAAAATTTTAAACTCCAAAAATAGTTAAAATCAAGAAGATAAATAAACATATGAAAATCATGACACTAGAAGAAGTTTGTTTTGATGTCCAAATATCTTCAAATTGATAATCTCGACATCAAGATGCATGGACATTAGAAAAAAAAAATAGATTTCAAGTTTTGAAAATAGTGTATTTTGTAACTCATTTTTGGACCGTCAAGTTTCAAGATTTTCAAGTTTTCATAGATCTATCAATCTACATTGTTTTTGAAGCTTTAAACTTTATAAATAAAGATGAAAAGAAATTTCAAGGCTATTACAAATATTTTCACTATTGAAACCAAATTTTTTGATAGTATTTGAAGTAGGCTCTACTTTGATTGTTTACAGCCTGGGTTCTATACAAACTGCACGCGGATTTTTAACTTACTTTCTCTTTGGATTAGGAATAGCCGTGTCTATTATTCTAATGACAAATCCTAGCATCGAAAGTAAGGGCACGCTTTCGATACTTGCTCTATAGTGGTCAAACACTTCCCTTTCCGTAATATATGGTAAGTCGGACACTTATTCGTTCTAAATGAACAGTCGAGACAGATCCAATTACAATGTAATGCCCGAAAATTATTTATATTTATTTTTTTTTTTGCAAAATATTTAGATATCAAATTTTGGACATCAATTACGCTTCTAAACTCACATGCAAAAAATATATATATAAAAAATTCCCACTAGCATAAAAGGATCAAAATACCGTTGAAAGTTGTATGGGAACTTTGGGTATTTTATTTTATTGAAAATATAATTTTCTATTGTTTTTCGCCACTCCCCAATGAAATCATCACACATACTGCATTTCATATTTATATAATTTATAGAATAAAAACTAAAAATAAAATACTCTAAAACCTTGAATCTATACACCAAACAATCAATAGCTTATTTGATCTTAAATTGGACAGCTGAATAGAAAAAAGTATTAAAAATCTATAAAGTAAGGGACATATAAAATTTTCCCTAGAATGACTAAGAAAAATAAATAAAAAATATTGTCAAAATGAATATGACTTTAGTCATTTTTAATTGTTAATTTTAGCTAAGCTCCAACACTACAATTAGAATAAAAATAATGTGCCATCAAACTCTTTGTCGTTAACATAAAACACCACAACCACTTCGAACCATTTTATATATATATACCATCATGGTCCATTTTTTAAAAAGAAGAGTTTATATAGAGCCGAAGCTCCAAACAATCAAATTTAAACCTAGCTCAAAAATTTCACTAGAAGAGGTTGTTTTGATGCTCAAATATCATCAAATTAATCATCTCGACATCAAAATGCATGGACATGAAAAAAAAATTGATTTCAATTTTCGAAAATAGTGTATTTTGTAATGTATTTTAGACCATTAATTTTCAAGATTATCACGTTTTCATAGATCTATCAATCTACACTATTTTCAAAGCTTTAAACTTTATAAATAAAAACAAAAAAAGTATTTTAAAGCTATCACAAAGATTTCTTGAAACGCTCTAATTTGATTGTTTAGACCCAGGCTCTTGAAACGCTCTAATTTGATTGTTTAGACCCAGGCTCTATACAAACTGCACCCGTTATTAAATCCAACGAAGTTTTCCTTCGACTATGTGAAAACATCACACTCCAATCATCTGATTTCACATCACGTTATTTGTGACCTTTGTGCACAAAAAAATAACAGTATCATTACAAAGCCATATAAAAATCTGTGCAACCCGTCAGTGTCGCAATAGGAAGAAGAGTAGATTGATAATTAAAAAAGCTCTCATCTCTAATTGTAATACATTAAGGGTTTGAATTGAGCATTCAAATTTAATGATCAGAGTTACAGCACGCACTTCCGAGTCGGAGCGGGAACAGGACCCGAACCCAAACCTGAAATCGATATGCTAACCCAAACCGGTCTTGGGCACAGAACCGGAACCAGACCCATATCCATATATGGTGGTACCAAAACCCAAACACGGTCACGAAATCCATATATGGGCCCCAGAACCGACAGAGTCCAAAGTAACCTGACTTGGAATGTATTAGGAAAGATTCCCAAACCTGTACCGGAAGGATTATCATCAATTTTTGTTTACTGAACCCTAGACTTTCGATCCATATTTGAACCAAAATACAAGTAATTTCAATCGAAATCGAAACTGCAAAAGAAATGGCAGATTTTCACAACAACAAAAACAACACCCTAACTTGAACACCAAATAAATAAGGAAAGTTTCACATAATTGATGACTCATTACAGCATTTTTAAAGACAATTTTGAATCATTTCCATTTAATAACGCTTTGAAAAAAGTTAAATTCGCACACCTACTATCCATTGTAGTAAATCCTCAATTAGCTAATCAACAATCCAAGAGGGGGTATACGCAGGACAATATTCAATTCTAATTTGAATATGAAAATTTTCAAACGATGCTCACAACTAACATTTTTCCTACCTTTGAACTACCAAAAAAAAAAAAAAAAGTAGTTAGGGAATAAGGTTTTAATGCATGACATCATTTCATATGCGGTGCCCTCATTAAAAAACATCTTGAAAATCTTATTTGCAACAAATATTTAAACCTCAAAAGATGAATCACTTAAACTTCAAAACATCACCCTTCTACTTTCCCTTTAAATCACAGCCCCCTTGCTGTAAGGTGTGCCACCCATGCTATGTGATCTTTGGTTTTGGTGAAGAATGAAAATCCCATCATCGAGCCCACTTGAGCTCGTTGCACAAGTCATTGGACCTCCAAAAATTGAACCCATTTTCATTGAACACTTCAAGGTCCTATAGTCCGTCAGCTCATCAAACCCTCCAAGCCTGAACCCACCATGAGACTCCTTCGGCATACTCCATTCCAAACCTGAACCCACCATCCCATACTCAGTGTGAGACTCTTTCAGTATACTCTGTTTAAGACTCCTTCGGCCATTTGAGACTCCTCGCATATGAACAAATTCATGCCTTCTGATCTCTTCATTCATCGCCAAGAACGAATTTCAGATAACATAGATGCCACACCCTATGGCCAAGGTTCAGACAAGGCAAGAAAATAGAGTTGGCCATGATGTTGTCGTTTCCATTGACTACCTCAAGACCATCATCATCATCATCCAAGTTTTATCCCAACTATTTGAAATTGCCTACACAATTCAAATTTCATCACATAACCCTAGCTCAAGCCCGTAAAGTTGTATCAAGATTCAAAATAGAGAATCGGCCTAACGTAATTCTTCTCCATTTCATTCCGGAGCTTGGGACAGGCAATCAAAGTTGTTTTTGTCAAACGAATTGAAAATCTAGAAATGATCCAGGTAATGTGTCACAAAAAGTAGTATTAATGAGCTATTTCAAAGACTAGAAATCTCTTTTTGTCTCTATATTTCGAGATCTCAATGTTGAGATGATCTAGTAGATGTTACTCCAACATCAAAACTAACTTAATTCTACCTAAATATAAACTTCTTCCTTAATCAAAATGAATGTTATCAAAAATAAATCTTGGGGCATATTATTTCTACAAGACCAAAATGAAACTATAAAAATTCAGATTGGGTACCTTTTTCTCATATTCAAATTCAAGTATCTCAAGGCGCCAAATTCCAAACTTAATGAAAAATAATGCAATTGGAGTAGAAATTATTCACACTTTGCACCAAAATGCAATCATAAGAGCAGAACTAATTACAATTAAAAACCCATATTGATAGGGACTATTATAAAATTGAGAATCAACTACTAGATAACAGAATTAAAAATCTTAGTTACCCACAAAAAAAACAAAATATAAACAAAAAATGGGTTTCCAAAATATGAAGTATAAGCAATATTTATTAGGAGAATTAAAAATGGCATCAGACAATAAGCAGAGTATTAATCCACATCATTGTTCAGTGTGTAGGATAAGACTTTCATCATTTGCCATGACATTATCAGATCAACAAATGCAAAATGCAAAAAATATCATAAAATTCTCAATAAGAAAACAGATACACACTTTAGTTTTTAATAACTAATGAAAACTCAGACAATAATATACACCAAACCTGTAGCACCAAGGCATCAATGTCAAAAACAAGGTTCCCACAGAACGACATTGCAGGGTCCTAAGTCCAAATCATCCCTACAGACTCAGCCCAGTCGAGTTTGTAATATTCATAGAAAACTATACAAACTAGCAATTATGGCTGGTTTTTTAAGAACTCGACACCATGCCACGCGCTTTTTAGAAAAATTAAACACCCTAAGGCTTCAATTCTCAAGTAAAGCTGCAACAATACTGAAAAGAATCAAAATAAGATGGACCCAACCAAGTCTGGGCCTAGGCCTGACCACTGTTGGGCTAGGTAGGACCAAGCAGGTTCAAAGGAAAAACAAAAAGAAAATGAGAGAAAATACAAGGCCAAACTGGGCCGGCCTTGCCGTGTTGGGGCCAGAGGACTCACTAGCCCCATCCTTGAACTGCAAGGGCAAGGTCAGGCTACATTTTATGGCTCAGTCCTAGTTTTTAGAGCATGGACTACCAAGAGAGGCCACTGGGGCAATAGCAACATTTTAAATGCCTACTCCCAGATCTAAGCTCTAGAACCTTCGTAGTAGGAGAGAGAGAATGAGGTTCCTAGCAGGAAGCAGTGATTAAATGCCTACTCCCAAATCTAAGCTCTATTTCGACCTGTTGTAGATAAATTAAACACCCTAAGGCTTCAATTCTCAAGTAAAGCTGCAACAAAGCGGTAAAGAATCAAAATATGGATTTAATGTAGAGTATTTGACAACTCAAACTCTTTTTTTTTTTCCTGAAATTCTTCACTTTGCATTATAGCATACTTATTATTTGAGGTACTCAGACAGCCAAGGGTTTGTCTTCAACTTCTGGATAATACCAGATCAGAAACTCTAGTCCACAATTAGCTTCATCATCGCACCAGCAATCAAAAATTAAAGTCAAAGATCAAGCAGAATGAGAAAAAGGGGGAAAATGAACCAAGAATGAGAATCAACAAAGTAAAACAGAAGGCACTCTTAAGTTGCTTTACACAAGATAAATAGAGGAATGGGATCATAAATAGAAACGGGAAAGGGACAATAGGAAAGAAAGACGGTTTCAATCAGAGAAAAGGAGAAACATATATGTAAATCAAACAGGAAATAAAAGATTTAAAATAATCTATGACCAACGTCAAATTAAAAAAAAAAAAAAAAAGGAAATGACTATATCATTCTCACATCAAGCATTAATTAAAATATATGGTCTCAAAAATCAATATTGAAGAAGATTTTGATTTGGGTCTCTCTTTTACAAATACCAAAGTAAAACTACGAATTCAAATTGAGTGTCTTTCTTGTATTCAAGTACAGGGTATCTTAAGGAACCAAAAATCCAAACTTGGTAAAAAAAAAATTAAAAATGAGTTACCACAAAATAAAGAAACTAATATCAGCATCAAATTTACTAGAAGTTGAAAATGGCATCAGATAATAAGCGAAGAATTAATCCACATCAATGTTCGGTGTGTAGGATAAGAATATTTCCATCATTTGCCACTAAGTTAATAGTCCAGAAAATTTAAAAAGCAAAATATGATAAAAATGCCCAATAACAACACGAACATGAACAACAAGTAGAAGTTATTCACAACAAAGTTATGGCTGCTAATTTCTTCCAAAAAGAGATCCTTAAATTAATGAACAGGCACGAATATAATATGCACCAAACTATAAAAAAAAATGCCAATGTTCAAAAACAAGGCTCCCAATGGGGACTCAGTAGGGTCCTGAGTCCGAGTCATTCATACACACTTGGCACAGCCAAGTCTGCACAAGCAATAACAATAAAATATATTAACTAGCTTTTCTAAGGACTCAAACTTATGTCATATCTAAGTAACTCCAACTCCCAAGCTTAAATCGCCCAAAGACTCCATTTCTGACCTAAAGCGCCCAACAAGATTCAAAAAGAAAATAAATAAATAAAAATAAAAAATGAATTTAATGTAAAGGGAAAGTATTTAGTAACCCATGCTTTTTTGAATTTAGTTTTAGTCTATGAGATATTGTTATTAATTGAGGAACTCAGACAGCCAAGGGTTTGTCTTCAACTCCTGGATAAAACCAGATCAGAAACTCTAGTCCACAATTAGCTTCATCGTCGGACCAACAAACAAAAATTTAAAGACAAAAGATCCAGCATAATGATAAAAATGTGAGTATATAAACCCAGAATAAAAGCTCCAACAAGAACAGAAGAAAGCACAAAATGCATTTAATGTAAAGGGAAAAATTTGGTAGCCCACGCTTTCTTATTATTTTTTATTTTGCATTGTAATATATTTTTATTATTCGGGGTACTCAGACAGCCAAGGGTTTGTCTTCAACTTCTGGATAATACCAGATCAGAAACTCTAGTCCACAATTAGCTTCATCATCGCACCAACAAACAAAAATTTAAAGACAGAAAGCAAGCATAGAGAAAAAAAGGGAGAAAATAAACCCAGAACGTGAATGAAAATAATAAAACAGAAAGCACCTTGTGAGTTGCATAACACAAAACAAATAGAGAAAAGAGATAATAGGAAAGAAAGATGGTGTAAATCAGAGAAGAGAAAAGACAAAAACATAATAAAAAATAAAGAGTTAAGCTGGAAAAATGAAGACAAACAAGCAAGGAAAGAGAGTATTCAGAGGAGAGAGAAGGAATGGATCAACAAAAGAGAGAAGCCAAAATGACAGAGAAGAGGATACGAATAAATTTATTGCTCTGGGAAGCGGGTTACGGTTTCCTTTGGTAACCCAAGCTGAATAAAGTGGCATCTCAAATATTATCAAAAAGCAATTCAGTCACTAATAAACATGCAAATAAATCACCTCTATTTAGAAAAGCGTGCTGTTTGTATAGAGCCTAAGCTCTAAACAATCAAATTAGAGCCTACCTTCAAATAGTGTCAAGAAATGTCGTTTCAATATTGGAAATCTTTATAAAATATATTTTGATATTTATTTATAAAGTTTAAAGCTTCAAAAATAGTGTAGATTGATGGATCTATGAAAACTTGAAAATTGACGGTCCAAAAATGCATTACAAAATACACTATTTATTTCCAAAACTTGAAATCCATTTGACGATATGAGTAATGATCCTATGAGACACTCCCACACCCATATGTGTAAGACCCCAAAGGATAACCATTAAATTTGGCACAAATCTCTAAAAAAATCAAGTCCCACACCTATGTGATAACTTTTCTAAAAATCTATGCCAAATTTAATAGTGATCCTTTGGAATCCTACACACATAGGTGCCGCAGGGTCTCATAGGATCATTACTCTTGATCCTATGATCCTATGGGAGAGTCTCATAGGATCATTACTCTTGATCCTATGAAGATGAGTAATGATCCTATGAGACCCTCCCACACCCATATGTGTAGGACCCCAAAGGATCACCATTAAATTTGGCATACATTTATAAAAAAGTCCAATCCCACACCCATGTGATAACTTTTCTAGAGATCCATGCTATATGAGCATCCAAACAACCTCTTTTAGTGAAATTTTTGAGGTTGGCCCAAATTTGATTGTTTAAAGCCTCAGCTCTCTATAAACTTTCCCCTTTAGTAAATCATGTATACAAAAACAGCTCTTATTTCAGATCCTAAAAATGGTCCATCCTATAACACTCTCTAAACCATACATTTCAAGTGTTCATTAACGTGCTAGATTTACACCCTTTTGGATCTTCAACTTCAACAGTGAAGAGAAGAGCACTGTAGCTTTCGGTGGGCTTGTAGGGCCAGACAACAGACGTAAAAGCGCCATAGTATAAAACACTTGCCACTAACCCTATTTGAATCGATCCCAAAATGTATGAAAAGTTTGCACAAATTGTAGGAATGTCTTTAATGAGGGGCGGGAGAGAAATACAAATAGTTCTTCTTCGCTTTCGTAATTTCAAAGGTTTACCCAAATTTTAGAAATCTTTAGTAGGGAGACAAAGAGGCAAGGTTCTTTTATATTTCAGAAAATTCCCAAAATATATAGAAATATTCCACAAACTCACCAGTAAACCAAATTTTTTACATGAATAAAAACACAGTAAATCCCTCAGAAGTAATAAGTTGCAGACATTCAACATGGCATCAGTTCAGACCGCCCGTCTGCTTATTTTTCATCACAGAGAAAATAAAAAAAAAAATCGCAGATTTTAAAACAGAGAGGAGCATTGTCAAAACCAGATGATGCCAAAAGAGAAAGAGAGAGGAAGAGAGCACAAGAGAGAGATACTTAAAACCTAAAAAAATCAATCTCATATCCAAAAAAATGAGAAAACAAAGGGAATTTGCACAAAGTGAATATGGATTAATTTATCAGAAAAAAATATATATGTGTTGGACCATTTGACACCAATGCAGGCTAATTCTGCATTGGGTTGGTAAGCCAACAACTCGCTTTTAGCACCAGTTTTAACCCTTTAGCAAGGCATAAACAGATACTAATATAGCATAATAATCCATTAACACGCTAATGGGCTGGTAAATGATGCTTATTTCCCCCAAATACCCAACTTAAATGACAAAAAATACTTTTTAATGGCAACATCCATTTCTTGCGCCAAGAACTACCATAAGAAAACCAGTATATAACAATAGCTTCTTCATTGCAAGAATATTAACAAACATTACACAAAACAGAGATTAATAAAAAATGCATAGTACTATATGTAGTAGAGAAGGACATATTTCTCAGATAGAAATCAATAAAAAGAGAGAGATTCATCAGATAAGATACAATAAAAAGTACCTTTAACATAAAAATAAAATCACTTTCAATGGTAATTTCCATTTCTTTCTCAGAATAAATAGAAACAATCATAGACATTTCTCAGATGTCCAGACATAAAATAGCATCTTCGTCATTGATAATATATATCTATATATATATATATATATAATAAAAAAAACAGAATAAAGAAATGCATTTGTTTCTCGAAATAGAATCACAAAATGCACATTACAACACGAAGTAGATATTGATATAATTTGCATGAAGAAATTACCAAAAGCAAGAAAGAATCATCAGATAAAAAATAAAAATGTGAAGTGCAAGGCAACTGCAAACAAAGTGTGACTCAAAACAAACCAAAATAACTCATAAGAAGACGAAAATAAAAATAAAAAAATAAAAAACAGAGAAGGGTTTTTCTCTACCTATGCATATTGCCTTTGTTCTTTGATGAGAAGAAAAGGTATCCAACTTCTAGAGAGAGAAACTGGTCTCAAAACAACTGGTTACAGCAGTGAGAAACATGGAACTAGGGTTGTATTGTGGGTTTAAAAAGGTCGAGGAATGCGATTAGGGTTTCTTTGGTTGGGGGTAAAGAGGCGCGCAAAATAATTGTTTGGGCTTTTAGGGTTTCAATCGAAACCCTAATTTTGGGCAAGCCATTGTGGGCCGGGGGCCGGGCCTCAGATGATTCACTCATTAAACCCATGTGTAGGTTCTTTCGCGAACCAAAATTTCATCTTTTTGGAATCAGAACCCATTCGAGTCTCGCGGGTCCGGGGAATTTCCTATTTCAAAAAACGAATATAAATTTTGAAAATAAAAAAAAAGATGGAAAAGTATATAATGTGACTATTTATCTTTTGTGCAAAGTGGCCACACAAAATTTTTACTAATGGCTGTGAAATTGGGCTGTTGCATATATTTAATTGATCAAGCTCAAAGCTATCGGATTCATGTAAATGGTTGTAAGTAATTGTGACCGCTTTGTACAAAAAGTATATGATATCATTATATACGATCCCCATAAATATTCAAAATATTTGTCCTACTTTAAAATATTTATAATTTTTTATTTTATACTTGTGACTTTTTAATATTAAAATTTTCCAAAATACTCCCAAAACTTCAAATTATGATTCCAACCTTTCTTATGCACCCAAAGAAAAAAACCTAGGCTTTTTATTATTTTTTTTGGAGTGACCACAGAAATTAACAGAAATGGAGATTCAAGTTCGGAAGCAATCTTTCACGAAAAAACAGGTGACCCCAATCAGAATTAGAACTTGTGAAAGTGAGTCATTTCTTTTAAAAGAAAATTATATAAGTGTGAGGTTTTAAACAATCAAATTAAAGCACACCTTAAAATATATGTTTTGATGCTTTATATACGGTATCAACGTTTTGTAGATATAAGGGTACACCATTTTTTGAGATTTAAATTTCATAATTAAATATTAAAATAGTTTTTTAGCCAGTCGCAAAGATTTTCGACACCAAAAGTACCTATTTTAGCCAGATTTAAAGTTGTGTTATACTTTGTTGTTAAGGTCGAAACTTTATATAAATGAAAAAATTTCTATAAAGATGCAACCATATAATGTAGAACTACGGATGCACCTCAAAAATCCATCGAAAAAAATAGTTTTAATCTTGAAAAACCCTTTGATTGATCATCTCCACATCAAGATGTATGACCATGAAAAATAAAAAGATTTGAAGTCTCAAAAATAGTACATTTTACAACATATTATCTACACTGTCCATTTTCAAAAATTTCATATGTTTATAGATCTACTTAATTTTAACCATATTTTAAATTTAAAATTTTATAATTAGATATAAAAATAGATTTTGAGATAATCCTAAGAACATTTTACATCAAAGTTATATACCATGATAAAATTTGAAGGTGCACCTTACCTCTACAGCTACGATGCATCTGTATGCCGTCTGCACCCTTATATAAATTGCACCCAACTTAAAATATTTCATATCCTAAATAGTTATTTTAAATAGATTTTCTTAATGGGATTGCATTTGAGCATGCCCTTATTTCAAAATCTCTCTTTGATATATTAGGAGACAGGGAAATAATAAATTCATTATTCATAACAATTTCATGAGTTAATGACAAAAGTATAAACTGATTATAATTCTCTCCTAATCTAATATAAATTCATAATTTTTTGGAACTTAATGATAGGAACAATGCAATAAAAGTTCAAAGTCATATTTTGGATACCCTCATAGCCGAGTATGCACTTCATCCCTCGGCAAAAGACTAGCTCAAGAGCAGTGTTTCGAAACACAACCTGGCCACGGGGCTCAGCCCCCTGGCCAGGTCGAGTAACTTAGGCTTGGCCCAAGTTATTTGGCCCGCTTTGGGCTGAGTCTCGCCAAGTCAAAAAGTGTTAAAAGATAAAAAATACAAAAAAAAAAAAATGTTTAAAGTAAAGGATTATATACAATGATACAATTTTCCTTTGATACAAGGTGGTCATAATTATTTATAACTATTTGATGTGGAACTTGATAGATTGGATGTGTCATAAAGTTAGAAAAACTTTGAGCTTGATCAATGGAATAATTGCAGCCACCCAATTTCACATCCAATGATCAAGATAAATGAGACCACTTTGTATCAAACGTAAATGATCTCATTCTATATTTTCCCTTAAAGTAAAATAAAAAAATCACATCTACATGAGGTTAAAAAATAGTGACAAAAAAAATGGATTTTGAAAAAATCAATGTGATATGGGAGGTGCTTTAGAAATAATTAAAAAAACGAGGGAAAACATAAAAATAAGTATTCATGGCCGAAAAACTTTCCAATGTTTGCCAGAACGATAGAAAACATAAAAAAAACACATTATAGATAAATGTTTTACTTTTAAAATTATTTATAATTTGTATTTTTTTTTAAATCCCTATGTCGGACTACCCAAGTCAAGGATACTTGGACTCGCCAAGGTGGCAAGTTCGAGTAACTTGGGTGAGTTTGAGTTGGCTCGGCCCAATTTATATTCACTTATCATGATGATTTTGTTGATTTGGCCTACTTATGAATAGCCAAATAACTATTCTCAAGAAGAAAAGTGCTTTGAGTTCCTAAATTGGTAGATATGGCTATCCAAAAATTGGATAAACCATGACCAGAGCATGTTATACACTTACTCCTCATTGATTATGGAGTTATTAAGGAGGTATTATTTTATCTAATTTTTCAAAATTTATTTTAGAATAACGAAAATGATTGTATATAATGAGACCATTTACCTTTGGTATAGAGATATCACAATTACTTACAAGCATCCAATGTGAAATTCAATAGCTGGAGTATATCACAAAGTTCAAGAAAATTTCTTTTGAACTTTGAGCTTGGTCAATAAAATAAATGCAGCCACCCAATTTCACATCCAATGGTCAAGATTAATTGAGACCATATTGTGCCAAAGATAAATGGTACCTACTATCTAGTGCGCATACAATATTTCTGCAGGAGCATACTGTGCATGTATTCCCTGATTCAAAAAACTACTTGGGAGGATCTTTTCAGTCTGAAATTTTGGAAAACACCTAAGAATCATTAAATGATCATTTTCAAAATTAAAATTTGAATATTGTTTTTTCACCACTTAGATCTTGCCCTTCAAAAATTGGACGGTCCATTCAATCTCGAGACTATTTTTTTAGTACATGGATAGTTCAACTCAAATTTTTTATTTTTAATTTTTTACTTTACTGGTGTTGTTCTTGAAGTGATTACATCCTCAAAATTTAAGGTCATAAAGTTACTCCTTTATAGGGTTTTCAAATATAAATGTGTGGATAGGACGCTTGTGCAATTGGTTAGCGCGTAGGATCGTAGCACTATTGTCCAAGGTTCAAATCCCATCAGACCCACTTGAAGAGAAAAGTAAGAACAAAAGTTGGGGCATCTTGAGCAGATGTGAAGATCCTTATTTGAGAAGAAGACTTTCCAAAAAGGATTGATTGAGAAATAAATGGCCCCTCAGTCTTCTCTTTCTAATTGTTGTCCTACAACTATGGTAGAAAAGCCCCTCACTCTCACTCCATATGTGATTGTTTTAGACCTATTGGCAATGTTTAAAAAAAAAATTGTTTTGGACCTATTGGCAAAAAAGAAAAATCATAATTTTTTTTATGCTATCTAATGTTTTTTTAGACCTCAATGCATAATAATTCTTTATTTTATTTATTTTTAAATATTTTTGAATGGCTTAATCGAATGACCTGGATTGGTGATCCAATGATCCCACATGGATTTGTCGAGTGATTGATCCACCCCACCAATTAGGGCTTTGAAACACTGATTGGATTTAATGACGTGACTAATCAAAGGAGATGACATGGTTAAAGTTGTGGCCCATATGAGATAGATGAATTTGAGAAATGATTTTATTTCCTAAAGAGAGGAGACTAGTGCGAGACGAAAAGAAAGGAAATTTCATTCGAACCTACACTCTTTAAAGAAATGACAAAAAAAAAAGGCAAGCAATGGCCAAGATATCGATCAATATATCATATTTAGGGGTGGCAATGACCCGGATCTTGCCGGACCCAATCTGGGTCTGGGGACCCAATCTGGGTCCGGGTAAAAGTCTAAGAATTGGACCTGGTGGGTTGGGTCCAAGTCCATGCGGATCCGATCCGAATGGTTATATTATATAAATATTTAATATATAATATTTAAATAAATATAACTATATATTTTTAAGTATAATATTTAAATTTTATATATATATATATAACATAATAATTAAATTTATATCAATTTTTTATTTTGGTCGAGTCCCCAAATCGGATCCGTTGCCACCCCGATATCAATCGCGCCTGGTTGGACTGCATGCCTATTGACAGAGCTCTAGCTTGATGAGGCCCTAAGGATTCGAAATTAGCTTGACTCATGTTCGCCTGGGCCGCTCAAGCTACTCAATGAGGCTTGTAGGCCAAGCCCTAGCTTGTTTTAAGGCTGGGCATGGGCAGCCTATTGGCAGCATTTTACCTGTAGAGTTGCCAATTGGGCCTGGTGGAGTCCAATTGCGAGCGGGGCATGGGCCTAAACCTAACTTAATTGAGTCGAGGTGGGAAAAAAGGTCAGGTCGACCTGTGGACCAGACAGGTCAACACAACTAACCTTGGCTTTGGATTTAGAAAATGGACTCGACGAGTCAGTTCTGGGTCCATCTTGGACCATATTAGGTGGGGTCAACCTGACCCAGCCCAACCTGGTATTTATAAGGAACACAAATATATAATAACTATGTATTATATAAAGGGTGCGGTTTGTGTAGAGCTGAGGCTATAAACAATAAAAAAAAAGCGCACCATCCAAATAGTGTCAAGAAATGTTATTTCAATATTGGAAATCTTTGTGATAGCCTTAAAATACGTTTTTATCTTTAATTATAAAATTTAAAGCTTAAAAAATAATGCGGATCGAGCAGATCTATGAAAACTTGAAAATTGAGAGTCCAAAAATTGCGTTACAAGATGTACTATTTCCAAAACTTGAAACCTATTTTTTTCTCATGACCATGCATCTTGATGTCTAGATGATCAATTTGATGATATTTTGGCATCAAAACATTATCTTCTAGTAAAAGTTTTGAGGTAGGCTCTAATTTGATTGGTTAGATCCTAGGCCCTATATAAACTTTTTCATTATATAAAAGGCGTGGTTCTATAAGGTTGCAACCTTAAACAATCCAATTAAAGCACACCTCCAATTTTAGCATAACATGTAATTTTGGTGTAAAAAGTTATCAGAATTATCTGAAAATCTATTTTCATATCTAATTATAAAATTTCAAACTCCAGAAATGGTTAAAATCAAGTAAATCTATAAACATGTGAAAATCTTGAAAATGGACGATCTGGATAATGTGTTGCAAGATGCACTATTTTTGAGATGGAACTCATAATTTTATTTTATTTTCTATATTCATACATCTCGATGTCTAACATGATTGATTAAAAGGTCTTTCAACATTAAAACAACGCGTTTTAATGGGTTTTTTAGGTGCATCTGTAATTTTACATTTTAAGGTTGCAAACTTATATAAACTTTTCCATTATATAAAATGTTCAATATATTTTTTATAATTTTATTTATGTATCTAGATTCAACCCGATCTCGTGGGTTTGGCCCGGATCCAATTGATTTGGACCCGACCGATCCGACCCAGGTCCCGGTCCAACCTAGATAGTCAGGTTGGGCACAAGTCTAGGTCCAAGTCAACTTGGACCTGTCCAGACCCATTTGCAACCTTGGTTAAGGCCAAGGCTAAGGCCACTTGGGCCCATCGCTATAAGAATTCAGGTCAACCCAAGTCGGCCCGGGCCCTTTGGCAGCCCCACTCCTACTCGTGGCATGGACATCAACAAATTCCGCTTTTGGCCTTAACAAGGAAGAAACCCCCAAAATAGTTAGCCTTCAAGTGGGCTACTTTATAGTAGATCCATAGAAAGGATGGGCAAAGACTCGACAAATCCAAATTGTGCCCTCGACGATATTCCAAGAGCAGCTTATCCTAATGTATCCTTTAGACAAGGGCCCATAATGCCTCCCCTACCCTAATTTTAAGAATTAATAATGTCCCATCCCTCTTTCTCTCCCCCTCTGCCCCCCTCTCCCTCCCTCCCTCCCTCCCTCTCTCTCTTTTGGGGTAGCAACGGGTCGGGTTGGGTCATGCGAAATCCAGTTCCAAACCCAAAATTATAATATGGGATCCAAATCTGACCCAAAAATTAAAATATATGTATTTAAATATATTTAACTATTTTCATAAATTAGGACCTGAAAATATAACTTGGATCAAGACCTAAATAGAGTTCGGGTCCAAGATTTGGATCCGAACCCGACCCACTAGGTCCAATTTTTTGACCCATACCCGGACTTGGGTCGGGTCTAGTCCCGGGTCGGCTCTAGGGCCACTGCCACCCCTAATCTTTCTCTCTCTCTCTCTCCCCAACAAATTAATCAGGATGACCAATAATAAGATTATGGTAAAGAAAAAAAATTAAAAAAGGATACAAATATACATGATTTAAGGTTTATGCTTCTTTTTCACAAAGGCACATAATGATCATTGTTTCTCAACAACTTGGAGCTTTTAGTACGACGTGACTACATAAGATAGAAACATACAAGGTTTATGGTTCTTTTTCACAAAGTCACACAATGATCATTGTTTCTCAACAAATTACATAACAACTAGGATCTTTCAGTACAACATTCAACATTTTCTTCCATCTTTCTATTTCCATTTCCTCTCATTGCTCTCTCTCTCCCCCCCCCTTTTCACATGGGATCCTTCTTCCCTTTCTAATTCAGACTTTGTCATAAACTGAACCCCATACTTAATTTTCATAGTTTTTCTTACCAATCCTTAGTAATAATTAGTATCAAATCCACTGTTGAGCAACCAGTGGAACCTTCACTCACCTTCATAAAGCCAAGGTCTAAAGTTTGATTCTCACCATGGTGCATTTTTTAGAGTATCTAAGTACTATGACCATTTGCGAGTTCAATCGATCGACTGGCCGCACCTCCCACCTCGTGTTGCGGAGGCGGTCGCGCTGTCGTTTTCTTTTCAAACAATTCAACTACTTCCTCTAGAGTCCGGCCCTTTGTCTCAGGCAAGAAGAAGAAGAAGAACAAGAATGCAAGAAGAGAAACCCCTGAATACAAGAAGAAGCTCCCTCCTATGGTAATGGCATTGTAAACTGATATAAATGTCATTCCTATCACACCACTAATCACACGGTTCACCGCAACCCCTATGCTCGCCCCCTGAGCCCGAAGCCTCAACGGAAATATCTCTGAAGTGTAAACCCAAGTTATCGGCCCCATTCCGATTGAGAAAAATGCGACATATAGTAGAATGGTGGTGATACAGAGGCCAACAGCCCAAACTAACTTCTCATCACTGTGTGCTATCATGGTTAGACCAAAGCCTAGACCAAATAGAGAAACTGCCATTCCTCCTAAACTACTCAGAAGCAGTGGCCTCCTACCCAGTCTATCGAGCAGGAAAGTGGCTACCAGAATGAAGGTGGTCTTTGTAAGTCCTACACCAACAGTGGCTCCAAGGAGCTTACTTTTCTCCTTTATTCCTGCCTTTTCGAAAACCCGAGGGCTGTAGAGGACAACTGCATCAATGCCGGAGGCCTGTTGGAAGAAATGTATGGCAACAGCTGCGATCAGCATGCGACGGACAGCTGGGGTGGGGCGCAAGAGGAGCTCCTTCCAGACACCCTCTCCATGGTGGTGCTTCGGCACCGACACGACCTCGCCATCAGCATTTTCGGGGATTCCAGCAGCGACCTTGATTTCAGAGAGGCGCCGTTGTGCTTCGTCCGGAGAGTCTGAAGTCTTGAGTAAAATCTATAAGATTTGAAGAATTTTGTGAGAATATTGAAAATCAATTTCTCATTAGAGACAGGAAGAGGGAAAGGTCATATGAATGAATTATTTTTTGAGTGTATGTCCTAGTGTCTGTGAGATACATAGTGGAAACATTGTTATCAAGACATTATTTGATTGTCCAGTACAACCGATGGGACTGGTTGATCCGGTCCATAGCAAAAATAAATTTTTTAAAAAAAAATGAAAAATTAATTTTTGATTAGTTTTGGCCGTCAAAATCATCAACTTTTTATCCATTGGACCGATAAAATACAGAAAAGCAATTTTTTTTTATGCAATATTTTTTTTTTATTTTTTAAAAATATTTGGTCGAGATAACTCCAATGGCGAATGGATTTGTTTTCACTAAATGGAAACCTTAACCATTTCGATAGTCCCCTAGGACCATGTTGCTACCATGATCGTGATAAAACATCCAAGGGAAAGACATTTCCCAGCAAACCATGATACACCTAAAGAAAAGTAGATTTAGGGTTTAATGTCAAATCAAGCGACATGATTGTATCTTAATGTGGGAGCATTAATCTGCTTGTGTGCCCAAGGGAGTAGCTGTACAGTATGGTCCCAAATGACACACTATGTGCATTCTCAAATAGGATGATTACATGCAGGAGAGGGATATTAGATTTGTGTGATTGTGTAAATGGATGGGGTAGGGTAGGGTCCACAATTATCAGGGCAGTACACGGGACATGACCTAGCATGTCTAGGTGCTGGATCCAAACCCACCTAGACCCAACTAGATTATACTTTGATTTTCTTACAGAATATGGGGTGGGGCTCAAACTGATATAATCCAGTTGGGTGCTGGTCACACTCAAAATATGTACATGGATCAGGACGATAGTGAGTTGAAAGCTGTTTTTGAGAACCTATCGCTCCGTATCTTCATAGTTGGAAGAGGAAATCGTGGAATTTTAACATCTCAAATCTAAAAAAACCAAAACAATGAAGTAAAAAAATAATTTGGATTGTCCATCACTTGATTTGCATTACCAGGTCGGATCCAGACTTGCAATTTGACGCGTTGGACACAAACCTAGGTCGGGCCGACACAATCGGGCACCCCTAAACACATCTACATGTACTTGTGAACATGTTTCTAAGAAGAGAGAGCTAAGACAGTGATTATGAAAATCACATACAAGTCGGATGAATTATAGCAACCAATTTCCATTGCTGACCTTCTTAGCCGCTCCTAGCCTTCCTTGCAAAACCAACCACCTCGGTGACTCCGGCATCGCCAGCACCCCCACCGCCAAGAACACCGGAGGTATTGCCCCCACCCCGAGCATCAGTCGCCAGCTGAGGTCCTCTGGCAGCCTTGCAAATACATAGTTCGAAACATATCCCAATAGAATACCCAAATTTATGAAAACCTCAGGAAAAGAAGTCAAGAAACCTCGGCTGGAGGCCGGCGCCACCTCTGCGGTGTACACTGGTGCGATCATCAGGGCATAACCAACACCAATCCCAGCCACGACACGACCAGCCATTAGGAAGGCATAATTGGGAGCAAAGCCCATCATGAGGGCTCCTACGAAGAAGATGCCACCGGCGAAGACGATAGTGTAGCGGCGGCCGATATAGTCAGAGGTGCGGCCAGCGGCCGCTGAGCCAATGAGGGAGAATATGTTGAGGGAGCCAACCAGGATCTCGACCTCTACATCATTGATGTGGAGGTCGTCCTTGATAAACAGAATCGCACCACTCATCACACCGATATCTGCAGGATCAGGAATTAACGACATCATTTGTCATTCTCTCTCCCACTCTATCATTTCATGATTGGTGCGTGTAATCCTTGAAAATGAGCTGTGTTAATCTTCTCTTTATCGTTTCAATTTTAGCGAATGTCTCCGAGGAGACTCTATCTCTCTCTTTATTAGTAGGCTACCATTGTTATTCAGTAAAAAAATTCAACTTTATATCTTATAAAAATAAAATGATAAAAGTACATCTTGTCTTTATTACTTATAAAAATGATAAAAGTATATTTTGTTTTTTTACTAATATTTACATAAATACTTGATTAGCAAGATATTATAAAAAATAACTTAAAAAAAGAGTGAATTATAGATTATCTCTCTGAGAGAGAGAGGAATATGGAGTAAAAAAAAAAGAGGAGGAGGAAATGAAGAATGCGTGAAACTTACCATAGCCTAGTAATATGGAGGTCATGGAAGCAAGAGTAGCACAAGCAAGAGCATACTTATTCCTCTGTGGCTTCTCAACCCTGTTTTGTCGCTCATAGTCCCCTTCTCTTTCCATTTTCTCTCACTACCACTTTCTCTGAACTGTTGTTCACACAAACTTATATATACAGAGGAACTTGTGCTCTTGTGGTCTATCTCTTGGCTCTTGGCTCTTGTTACCTTTGTGAAGGCATTAGAGAGAGAGAACGCTTTTTTAAACTGGTTTTTATCTATTTTTCAACTCACATCCTCTATTTATAGCACAAAAACCTGTCTGTTTGGGTCTTGTTTATTGTTAAAGAGGTGACATTTTTTTCCTAGTTTTTATGTAATTCTTATCTCTCATCCCCTATTTATGGCAAAAAAACTACTCAGTTTGCTTGTTTTTTTTTTTTTCCAAGGGATTTTCCTCCAAGGTTTTGGAATTTTACTATTGGAGAGTGTGGGGTAGCAAATCAACTTATCTGACCTGTAACAGTTGGGATAAGGTTTGGATGATGATGATGATAAAACAAATTAACTACCCATTTATTGATGTAAGGGTTGATTGTGGTTAGAAAGATCCCATCTCACATCCCCTATTTATAGCAAAGAAACTACTCAATTTGTTTATTATTTATTTATTTTTGGAGATTTTCCTCCAAGGTTTTGGAATTTTATTATTTAAGAGAGTGGGGTAACAAATTAACTTAGCTGACCCTGAATAGCTAGAATAAAGCTCGGATGATGATGATGATGAGATAGCAAATTAACCAAATTAATTAAAGGGAAAAATTTATATAGAGCCAAGGCTTTAAACAATCACATTTGATTTTACCTCAAAAATTTCACTAAACGAGATGGTTTTGATGCCCAAATGTCCTCAAATTTATCATCTCGACATCAACATGCATAGACATGAGAAAACAATTGATTACAAGTTTTAGAAATAGTGTATTTTGTAATGTATTTTTTGACCGTCAATTTTCAAGCTTTTCAAGTTTTTATAAATCTATCGATCTATACCATTTTTGAAACTTTAAACTTTATAAATAAAGATCAAAATATATTTTAAGGCTATCACAAAGATTATCGGTGTTGAAACCACATTTCTCGACACTATTTGAAGGTAATCAAATTAGAGCCCCGGCTCTCTACAAACCGCATCCTTAACTAAGAACTACTCAATTTACATTTTTTGGGAAGTGCCTCCAAGGTTTGAGAATGTTCACTACTTGAGGGAGATTGCCTTCTTGCTCTAATACTTCTGTATATATGATCCCACTTCTCTTATATTTATAAAAGGGGAAAAAAGCAACTGGGTTTGCTATTTATTGGGATGTGTCTTCAATGTTAAGGATTTCTAACAATTTGGGTCAAATTTCTCCCAAAGAGGCCTATTGAGGGCAGCTATCCTTTAGTGGTTATTATATATGAAACTTATTTATATAATTATTTTGTAACGTAATATATTTAGGGTTAGCAACAGGTTGGGGGACCTCCTCAGCTTGGTGGGCTAGGTTGTAAAAACCTGACCTAAAATGCAAAATTTGGCCCAAGGGCCTGGTTGGGCATGCGTGTTGTCTATGGCATGCCTGGGCCGGCTCCGTCTTCCTTTTTCTTAATGCTTCCATTAGGCCTGGCCTAATGCCAACCTTGTGCATAATGTAATTTTATGGAAAGGAAAAAGTTTATGTAAGGTTCCGTTCAAAAAAAAAGTTTTTATAAGGTTGAGACTCTAAACAATAAAATTAAGTTGTACCTCAAAAATTCACTAGAATAGGTTGTTTTGATATCGGAAAACCCACAAATCGATCATCTCTACCTCGAGACGTATAAGTGTAAAAAAAATAGATTTTACATATAGGAAATATTTATGGGCCATCATTTTTCAATATTTTCAAGTGTTTATAGATCTGTTCGAGTTTCACTATTTTTAAAGCTTTAAATTTTATAATTAGAGATGAAAATAAATTTTCAGGCCATCACAAATATTTTTGCTATTGGATATTCATCTTTTAACCCTATTTAGAGGTACACTTACTTTGATTATTTAGGGCCTCAACCTTATTATAGAAGCCACACCTTTACAAACAAGACATTTTGCAAAATAAAAAAGAAAATTGTTTCATGCCTGCTAGACCGTATTTCTACAAATATGCAGTCCCAAGGTATAAAGCATCCATCTTAAAGATGGATGCAGACAGATGATCCATCTAAAAACAATTGAAACTGATGGACCAAATGTTTTTTTTAATAGAATTATTATTATAATTTTTAAAATTTATTTATTTTTCATATTCATGATCTCCATGTTAGAGATTATGTATATTTAACATTTAAGTAAAAAAATTCATCTAAAAAATAGATTTTTAAGAGGATCATTTCTTCATGGACTCAAAAAAAACCATGTCCAAATCAAAATGACCAAAGCATGTGATGTGCATGCGGTTCCATTGCCCCACACACATGGCACCAGTTTGTCCTCGGCAATTCAATAATATATTTCAATGGTACTAATTCATAATAAAAGGGATATTAGAGAAATCAATATAAAATGAAAAACGGGGTTGTCTCTTTTGGTTGACTGTCGGTAATTTAAAAAATGGAATTATGACCCGGAAAGGCACCCCAAAAACTGGTTTGACTAGGTGAGCCGGCAGTCTAGATCACCATTTTATTGTACAGAAAAAACAATGAATCGACAAAAAAAACACATGAAAAAACAGTTTACCAACCAAAACTGGTATGGACCAGTGAATCGGTGGTCCGGATTGCTGTTTTACTGTAAAGAATAGTCGTTTTACTGTTAAGAATTGCCGGATCCTATTTAAATTTGGTTGTTTTCCCATATATACATCGAACAAAAACGAGATGATCGATTCGAGTCGGACCGGAGATTCAAAGCCGACGAAACTTTTTTAAATCACTGGTTGAGTGAAACCGATCTTTAGACACCTAACATGTTCCTGAGATTACTATATAATTAATATCGCTGGTGAAAGAGCTACTTAAAAGAATTTTTTGGATCCAAAATTTCTTAATTCACTTAAGAATTACTAAATGATTATTTTTTAAAATAAAATTGAATATTGAGTTCTTAAAATCTCAGACCATCCAAAAGTTGGATGATTTTTATTTAGTTTGAAGATATTATGATTTTCAAGGACACAGTGTGTGTTTTGAAAACTTTTACTTCTTTTCAGTTTATTGCGTGGTTGAAGAAGTTACCCATAAATTAGAGGTTCTAAATATACCCACAGTATGTATGTGCAAAGGGGCGTGTGCTTTTATTTGGGGAGATTTGTTGTGATAAAGTAACCTAAAGAATATAACCAGGGCTTGGGCCACAAATATAGCCTAAGGGGAAGGCCACCACAACTTGAGAGGTGGGCCAGGCTGGGTGTGAGCTACGTTCATGACAAGGTGGGCTGGATATGGGTTTTTTTTTTTTCTTTGATTGTATTGACCTTGGCCCAACAAGGCCAAGATCGGGCCAGTGCTGTCAGGCCCAGCTGGCCTGTTGTCAGCCCTGTCTAAGATGACTTCTCTGAATGTGCCTTTCAGGTTATATTTGTTTCCTCGAAGTTTTTGCTCTGAAAGTAAAAAACTTCCCAAATCACAGCTCCTATGCCACGAGTTTGGAAATTCAGCTTCTAGAGTTGAAACTTCCAGGAAACAAAGACCCTTTTAAACAAGGGCTCTAAAATGCTTCCCTTACCCCAATGCAAGAATCAAGTGTCCTCTCTCTCTCAGGAACAAATAAATCATGTTGACAAAAAAAAGAAAAAGGAAAAAAAGAAGAAAAGAAAGAATAATAGAAGTATAAATCATGCAAGCTTTATACTTGTTTCACACAAAGGGCTTATTGCTGCCCAACAATTAACATAGCCATTTGGTCCTTGTAGTACAATATTCAACCATTTGCATCCATCTTCAATTCCCACAATCTCTCTCATTCTTCTATCCCTTTCCCCCCTTTTCCAAGGGATATCCTTCTTCCCTTCAAAGTTTACTCTATCTATGAGTAATAGAGATTCAGACATTGAGATAACTGAAACTTAAACTATTCATGTTTCTTCTCAATCATATTAGTAATCCTTAGTATCAAAACCACCAATGCTTGGAAGCCGAACCTTCGCCATCTTCTACCGCCATCTTCTACTGGAGGTCGGGGGGTTCGATTCTCACCATGGTGCATTTCAGCTCATCTACTTTTTCCTCTCCAAGAACACCATATCAAGTAGAGGAAAACTAAGCAAGGGTGTCTATTTACTATTACCATTCGCAAGTTCGATCGATCGATTGGCCCCACTGGCCGCCTCTGTCTGTGGAGGTGCCGGCGGGAGCCCCACTTTTTTCTTTTCAAACAATTCGATGATTTCCTCGAGATTCCGGCCCTTGGTCTCAGGCAAAAAGAAGAAGAAGAAGCAGAATGCAACACTAGCAATTCCTGCAAACAAGAAGAAGCTCCCCCCTATGGTGATGGCCTTATAAAGAGATATGAAGGACATTGTTAGCACACCGCTCACCACCCGGTTCACCGCGACCGCAATGCTTGCCCCTTGAGCTCGAAGCCTCAATGGGAAAATCTCAGAACTGTAAACCCATGTGATCGGTCCCATACCGATCGAGAAAAAAGTGACAAAGAGGAGAACAGTGGCAATGCAGATGGCAATGGCCCAAACTAACTTCTCATCACTGTTCGTTATCATGGTTAGGCCGAAGCCGAGACCACAGAGAGAAATTATCATTCCTCCAACACTAGTAAGAAGCAGTGGCCTCCTACCCACTTTATCTAGCATGAAAGTGGCTATAAGGATGGTGATGGTCTTTGTGAATCCAACAGCAACTGTGGCTCCGAGGAGTTGACTATTATCCGTTATACCGGCCTTCTTAAATACCCGAGGGCTGTAGAGGACGACAGCGTCGATGCCAGAGGCCTGTTGGAAGAAATGTATGCCTACAGCTGCGATCATGATCCGCCGGACGGCTGGGGTGGGACGCAAGAGGAGTTCCTTCCAGACACCCTCTCCGTGGTGGTGCTTTGGCACTGAAACGATCTCGTCGTCGGCAGTTTCAGGGATCCCAGCAGCCAGCTTGATGTCAGAGAGGCGGAGTAGTGCTTCTTCCGGTGTGTCCGAAGTCTTGAGCAAGACCTGTAATATTTCCAATAATTTGGTGAGGAAACTAGAAATTAATTTCTCATTAGAGAGATGCAGGGGAAGTACAAAATGATCCGATGATCATCATCATCCATCTCTATCTATCCTATGTGGATAGCCTATTTTTTGTTGAAATCCGGATGTGGGTTTCAGGCTCTCCTTGCCCTATCTTTGTACTTAATTTCTTTACATAGAGTTAACATGTTAAAAAAGAGATGATGATGAGAGTAATAATAATAATAAAAATAAATAAATCAAATTGGAACCCTACGCGCATACATGGACCTTTTAATTTTTGGCGGGCAAGACCAAAATATAGAAGAACTTGAAATCTTTTTTTATTTTTTAATGTTAACTTAAAACCACATGACTAATCTCGAAGATAATGATGAAATAAAAATAAAAAATAAAATAAATCAAATTGGAACTCTATGTGCATGCATGGACCTTCTAATTTTTGGCAGGCAAGACCAAAGTACAGAAGAACTTGAAATCCTTTTTTTGTTAATGTTAACTTGAAATATATATATTATTGCAAATAACCACCCAGTGATTCTTAGGTGGACCCCAAAATTTCAGCTTTAAAAAAAAACCTTCTTAGGTAGCTATTTTAACAGAGGGAGTTAATATATAGTCTGATTCCCCCATAATATGCTTTCGAAAAATATTTCTAAAAACCGGTAGGGGCTGAATTCCCTACCAAAAAAAAAAGAAAAAAGTTTATATAGAACCGAAGCTCTAAAAACAAGCCAAGAGATTACATGCTCCGTGGTCCATTCACAACTTGAATAAAACCCTGCCCATGAGTAATTTTATGATCATTAGGAGATGTAACCTCTTCAACCTCCAACCTAGCAATCAACCTTTAGAGAAAAAGGGGGCAAGACCTAAAAAATAACATCTCAATATTGACAATGTGTGTACCTCAAAAATAACTTTTCAAGATTGAAAAATGTTTGCCCAATATTCACAAACTCAAAAACTCGTTTTGTTATTCTAAAATCATTAAAGCAATTATCTAATAATTTTTATGTAGATTACAAAATTTTATATTGCCGACTTTGATTAGTTGGAAAAAAGTTTTGATGATGATAATAATTTCACAATTTTATATTAAAAGAATCTTTTAATTAGCTATTTTGCATAAGGGAGTAAGTATACAATGCTCCTAAAAAGATTGTACCATATACAAACACACTCAAAAAAATACGAGAGAGACATATAGAGAGAGCCGTTTGTTTAGGATTGGGTTCATGGTCACCCCAAGTACCCAACTCGGAAATGACCCAAACCCGGATGCGATCTCATTGGATACTGGCTGGACTCATGTTTGGACTCGAAATGGGGTGGTTCCATAATTTGGGACCGGGATCCAGCTCACCAGGTCTTGTTCGCGGTGTGAGACCGGGCCCCAATTTGGGTCGACCCGGCTAGCCACCGCGAGCCATTCACAACTAAGGTGTGTCTGAGAAATGAGAGATAGGAAAGAGAGGGAACATGAAGATACACATAACTTAAATTAAATAAAAGCCCACAATTTCCATTACTGACCTTCTTAGCAGCACCCAGCTTTCCCTGCAAGACGAGCCACCGCGGTGACTCCGGCATCGCCAGCACCGCCACCCCCATGAATACCGAAGGTATAGCCCCTACTCCGAGCATCGTCCGCCAGCCGAGGTGCAGCGGCAGCCTCTCGAATGCGAAATTCGACACATATCCAAAAAGAATGCCCGCATTGATGAAAACCTCGGGAAAAGAGGTAAGGAAACCGCGACACGATGCCGGCGCCACCTCTGCTGTGTACACTGGTGCAATCATCAAGGCATAACCGACGCCAATCCCAGCCACAACACGACCGGCCATTAGGAAAGCATAATTGGGAGCGAAGCCCATCATGAGAGCGCCGACGAAGAAAATGGCACTGGCGAAGACGATGGTGTAGCGACGGCCGATCCAGTCAGAGGTGCGGCCAGCAGCAAAAGAGCCAATGAGGCAGTATATGTTGAGGGAACCAACCAGGATCTCGACCTCTACATCGCTGATTCGGAGGTCTTCCTTGATGAAGATAACTGCGCCGCTCATCACTCCGATGTCTGCAGGCCGGCGCGAGAAGCGCCATTGTTAGTCACAGTTTGAAGCTCTCTCTCTCTCTCTCTCTCAATTTCTCTCCATAGGCATATTCTCATACTCGACCGCACAGTCTTTTACCTAATGGTGGGCAGCAAACCCTCTCATAGACACATGCACATGCAATTTTTTCCACACACAAAGACTTCTCTCTCACACCAGCGTTCAAAAAATCAAACCGGACTCAAAAACCGATCACGGGCCGGTGTGAGTAACCGGTAAACTGGCCTAATTGGTCAGATGCCAGTTGAAGAGTATACATTATGAAAAGTATATTCAAAGCTTGATTAAATAAAGTACATCCAAGTTGAAAAAGTAAAAAATAGCTCGGCAAAATTGTCAAGCTCTATGATATTGATGGGGCATTCCATTCTCACCATAGGGGTCTAAAATCCATATTTATTTATCATTTTTTTATTTATTAAAAAAACTCAAAAATAATAGATTTTAAAAAAACCATTTGTGCTTAGAAGTATTTTCAAAAAAATTTAAAATGAAAAAATATAAAAATAAATATTTATGACCCAAACACTTTTTAATCGTTACATAAAAAATAATTAAAAATATATGACAAAGAAATATTTTATTTATGAGATTTTATATAAATTATTTTGAATTTTTTAAACATATTTGGCCACACAACCAAAGCTAGATAGGCTAGTGCCCTATTCCGAATTGGACCGACGGAATTTTGCGAACACCGACACATACACACACAAAGAGACATACCCAATTTTGTCCCTCAGTCCCTCTCTCTCTCACACACACACTCTCTCTGCAACAACACAGTAGTAGCCTCACTCGTTTTCTCTTTGTTTTGTTGTTTTCAGCAGTGAGTGTCTGGTACATAAATGAAAGATCAAGATCTCCCGCACCTCCATGCTTCTGGGTAGCCGCTCAATTATCATCCTCACCTCTCTCCCTCTTAACTATCGTCCTCTCTGTCTGTCTCTCTCTCTTTCTCTCTCTCTTTCTCTCTCTCTCTCTAGCAAGAACACAAGATCAGAGATTAGAGAACAAAGAATAGAGCATGGCCCATGGAAAGAGCCTATTGCCAAAGAAAAATAAAGAGGAAACCAAAGTGGGAACTCATGGAGAGAGGTGAGAGGTGGCCACTAGCCAAGAGATGGAGATCCATAAGCTAAAAGCAAACAATAACAAGTTACTAGGAACCAGTGTTCTAAAAATCAAACCCGCCTCAGAAACTGGCTAATGGCCAGTTCCGAGTAATTGGAAAACCAACCCAAAAAGTGTTTAAAAAAAAAATCTAAAAAAATATGAAAAATATATTTGAAGTATGATTAAACAAAGTACATAAAAATGAAGGTGAAACTTAGGGAAAAATAGAATTTAAAAAATGGATTAGTGCCCAAAGCTATTTTTGAAATTTATTTAAAAATATAAAAATAAGTATTCATGAACAAAACACTTTCCAAAATGATAAAAAATATTCAAAAAGCATATCACAAACGAATACCTTATTTCTTTGAAATTTTATATAATTTTTTTCAATTTTGTTTTCTAGAATACCCAGCTAGACCACCGAAATGAGCGAAAACCGAATCCGACAGTGTCCGAATTGCAAACACTGCTTGGAACAACAAAGTGTAAAGTGAATATATATATATATATATATATATAGAGAGAGAGAGAGAGAGATCAAGGAAACAAGAACAAAAGAATGGAACAAGGCATGAAACTCACCATAGCCTAGTAATATGGAGGTCATGGAGGCAAGAAAAGCACAAGCAAGAGCATACTTATTTCTCTTTGGCTTCTCAACCTTGTTTTGGTGCTCATAGTCACTTACAAACCCCTCTCTTCCCATTTTCTCTCACTACCAATTTCTCTCACTAGCTCTTTCTCCCTCTGGCTCTTTACTTGTGTACACAGCCTAATATAGAGGAGAAACAAGTGATACAAGCGTTGAACTCTTGTTTTCTTTGTCCCTATCAATGGCAATAATACTAAAAATTATAATATTAAAAATAATATCATTTGAAATAAAGGAAGTGTGCTGTTTGTGTTTTTCATCTTTTCCTTTTTGGTGAAGTGTTAAGCGACTTTGACGTTGTTCCACATGTTCTAGATAACATGTGGTGCACCCACCACCCCATTCACTGTGCAATCTTCTTATCACTAGGGCCCCTCTCTCTCTCTCTCTCTCT